TTAAAAACATAATAATATAAATTTTTGTATTTATTTATAATTAATTTATATAAAAAATTATAAAAATTGATATATAAATTATTTTAACTAGTTAATTAATTAATTTAAAATCAAATTTTATAATTTTTATATAAATTAATTATAAAAAATTATACTTGTATTTTTAACTTATGTATGAAAAATTTATTAATATATTATGAGCTATAAATAAGGAATAGCCAACCAGTAGAGCCATTTCAAACTTCTTGTTAAATGCTACGCAACATTATATTTATTGATATTTAATTGAACCAATGATTTCAATAGTTTAACTAATTAAATTGATTAAACTAGAACCTGGATGTCAAAACGATTTGATCTCTGGATGAGTTTTCAAAATACTGTTATAAATAACATGTAGTTTATATAATTAACATCGACTTCAAATATCCCACTCAACACAACCACCTAACTATTGTTCATGTAATTAAGTTCATATCATTCTAGATAATAGCTGCACCAACATAATCCATAGCGATGATAAGCCAACATAAACATAAAAACCTGCATCATCCATGGGACATGTCCCATAAGAAATGACATAAAAGTGGGATCAAGGTAAAATTAAAACTTTTCATTGTGTGGTGAGGACTGACTGGTGGGACCACCGGCAGATCCAGCAGCAGCAATAGTTTCTCCTTGCATGCGAAGAGGGTCATGATGAGGCTCTGCAGGAGAGACAATAGGGTCATGTAATTCCAAGTTACTAACTCCAGATGTATCCAAAAAAAATTAACAAAGACACAGCAAACTCGGTACTAAAATAACTCACTACCGCCAGTTGCAGTAGGCTTCATGGCCCCCAAGCCAAGATCTAGGGATCCTGCAGGTTAAAGAAAATGTTAAAACAACAATATTCCATAATTAGAAGAATGTCAAAACTACTATAATAATGCAGCAAAATATATTTATACCCACACATCAAATTCGCTGTCACATTCTGGTCCCAGTGAGTTTAAAAAAGAACGCATTTCAATTTCATCCTCCTGAAATTTAAAATAGAGTTGAAAAGATTCACATAAAGGACAGTAGAAAGAAAGCATGCAATAGTCTAGAACTTTTGAAAACATGCACATAATATGTGGTTTAGGGGCGGAATCATGGCCCATTTGTGGGTACATAAGGCTGTGATGTAATAGTATATTTTATATAAAAACCCGAAAAAAAAAGGTGCATGGTTGGAACTTGGAAGGATTTAAGGCACACGTAATCGCACCATCATATCTTCCACAAGCATCTTATCATTTTCGTCAAACTCTTGTTCTTCCTTTTCCGTGACGGCTTTGAAACTGTCAGCAATTCCGGGCTCCTTGCAAGAATCCCCGTCTTCTTTGAGTTGAAACTACATGTACAATTAAAACAGAATTGATGAGGATTTTTTAGGAATATAATTCAAGTAAACATCAATCACATTCAGAACAATATATATTCAATCAGTAATATGAAATCAATTTTTTCCCCACAAATAAACTATTATATTATAGACAAATAAACTCATCCATTATTACAACACAAATAAACAGATCCTAAACAGTAGAACCTATAGAAAAACCTCAAAGTAACATACAAGAAAATTGTGCCCATAACAAAACATAGAGCAGTTTCTGAAGAAAGAGTTTTCTGCAGCCCTGGGCCTGGAGAGTAAGAGGGAAGGTGGAAACTCAGCTGTAAGCTCAAGGGCTCATCACCTAGTCATGGGAGCTTCCTTTTTATTTTATATATTTTGGGAGCTGTTTTTGTCATGAGTGTTTCTATTGCTCTTCTAATAACTATATATGGCTCAGTTAGCTTGACACCAAGCTCACTGTTGTGTATATCATCCCATTTCAGGCTAGCTAGCTTAAGAGGTGTGTTTAAGTGTAGCTCTCATCGATCCTACTACTCCAGATTAGTAATGCAACCTTGTATATTTACCAAAACCAGAATTTGGCTTCATTATTTTTTCACAGTTAATATGCATTCCCATAGAGATATTGAGATTGAGAGGGAAAAAACATAGTGGACTAAACTAGTAGTTTCACAAAAGTTTAGGTAGCTCTGCCACAGTTTTACAAACAAGAAACAAATTAAGATATAAAAAAAAAAAAAAAGAATCATGGAAAACATATGAAATTAAATGTTTATGGCATTTATTTGTAATTGCTATTATTTCATGGATCATCGATCCATCAACTCTTAGTTTTGATGGAAAGTGCATAAAGTAAAGATTATCGATCATACCTCTGTACTTGGCCTGTAGTTTTCACTAAAGGCTTTGACCATTTCAAAAATTTCGGGCTCCCCACAAGAGGCATTGTATTGATTGAGTTTAACCTGCAATTACAATTAAACCAGAATAGATGAGGTTTTTTAGCAATATAGTTCAAGTAAACATCAATCATTCAGAACAATATAGATTCAATCATTAATATGAAACCATTCTTTTCCCAAGAGATAAACTCATCCATTATTACAACACAAAAAGAAAAAAAAAAGAAAAAAAAAAAAGAACAGATCCTAAAAACAGTGGAACCTACAGAAAATCCTCAAAATAACATACAAGAGAGCTGCATAACAAAAAATAGAGCAGTTTCTCGAGAAAAAGTTTGCTGCAGCACTAGGCTTGGAGAGTAAGAGGGAAGGTGGAAACTCAACTGCAAGCTAAAGGGCTCATCATCTAATCATGGGAGCTTCCTTTTTATTTTATTTATTTTTTTATTAGCTCATGGGAGCTTCCTTTAAGCTTGTACGTCACTATCTCATCCTTCACTCAGCTTGTAATTTTAAATCACAGTGAAGATGTAAGAGATTAATTCTGGAGGAATTTCTGCCCCATAGTGCCACTCCACATCCTAGAAATGAGATA